AATTGCTTTCGAAAAATCAGAAGGATGGGTTGATTCGACAGTCTGACCTTCTGTTGTGATGCAATACCCGTCTATCGAACAGACCGTGCAAGGGGTCGTCAGCGCTCTTTCAACTTACAGTGAGGGTATTTTGTCGATTATGACGTCTAAGTTGAATTTGCTCCTCGATATGAAGAGCCTTAGTTTTATTTATTTGATTTTAATTTTATCAAAAATTCCTTTTGTTTTACATTATCTCTTAGTGTGAATGAATCTATTTTGAGACACCTACGCGAGGATCCATCCTTGGCTAGCACGAGAAAAAACTGATTGAAGTGTCAGACAAGGGTGGATGACTCTCGAGTGAGGATGGTGGAGTTTATGACGTTGCTCTTGATGGATGTGGGGAAGCAACTAACTAACTCGGGATGTCCCTTGGGTCACTTGCTCGTCCCCTTGATGAAATCAAGAATCCTTTCACTCTGTCGACAAGGATCTAGCGGGAAGAGGTATTGTGCGAGCTGTCAGCTCTTGTGAAAAAGTTGAAGAAGATGGAAGTGGTAGTGGCAACTCTTAATCAATGGTTTTCGTAAGTAAGAGAGAGATCCTTGATGATCCAGGCCCAAGCCGAGTCAGGATAATTGGGTCAATTTAGGTATGTTTGAATTTTTGTTTAAAATGTTGTTTCAGCTGGGGTATGTCTTGGCCAAAGTGATGACTGTCCTTCTTATAAAGTATTTTCATTCACACAAATTTTTGAATGTTTAATTATAAATTAGAATATTTTTTTTAGAATAAACTTATTTTTCTTGTTTCATTTTCTTTGCTGATGTGATCCCGCTGTCAGCTCATCTCTGAAATGGCTGTGTAATTTGGTACGTCTGCACAACGGTAGGGTTGGTGATGTTACACTTATTCTGCTTTTTTCTCTTCTAGTCATTTTTTCATTCGTCTATTTGTGCTCTGCTCAACGACTTTGTGATATTCTTCGAAAGACTTTGGGTTGGACGCACTAAACGACCAATCGTGGATGACTCAATGAGAGGTTGATTAGTTGCAAAAGACTTGCATCTTTGATCCCACCATCAAACTTTGGGTCCCTGGTAAGGCTAATCGAGCTACCTCTATTTATGGTGATGACCTCCTCTTTTATAAAGATCAATTTCGTTTTGGTCTCTAAGTACCTTTTTGCAGGGAGATACGCTCCATATTTGCCCATTATGGCTTCATCCCTACCTAAATTATGCCCAACTCCATAACAACCACTATGACCATCATCGTCTTGTGACACCATTCAGGGTTTCTGTGCTCTGACAAACTCTTCAAGTATTTATTCTCATTCTGAGTTGTTGTGGATGGATTCATGTAGGGTCGGCAAATTCCAGCTATTGAGATTGGAGAATAAGGTGAAAGATTAGAAATCTCGTTTTTGTTTGGGTTCTTTCTCTCCGGGGTTGTACATCTAGACAGACCCATCTGACAAAATCCCTGGTAAAAGCAAAGAGGAAAATGCTAGTGAGAGTGTTTGCAAGGAAATTATCAACTGAGTGCTTTAGTCGGATTCTTTCAATCAAATGAAATAAAAGGATTGTAAATCCTCTAATGCTCATATGGCTAAGAGGGAGGTGATGGTTGGTTCTTTTTTAACAGAGAAGAAGGCCTGCATAATCACTCGACTTGAAAGTGTTCAAGTGGCGAAGGCACAAACACCCAAAGTGGCTATAGCCTGACAAAGCCTGGAAGGTGCAAACTTTATTTATTGTATTTCTGTTTCAAGTATTATTTTTTGAAGAATTACCGTATATGAGATAATTCTCATCAAGAGATCAACATTTTTGTTGCTCGCTAAGAGTTCTTTGTCACTTCAGGTCCATCGGGCGGCGACGACGACTGGCGAGCAATGGTCAGAGTTTGGTGGTCAACAACAATCGACGACTAGTGGTTGGCGGTGATGTTGGACTTCAACTCATTCTCTAAGTGTCAAACGCACATTTTAGAATTCAAGCTCTCTCTTCATTCCTCAAGCTCTCCCTTCAGACTTCAAGCTCCCTCTTTAGAATTTAAGCTCTCCTTCTCGTGAGAGGGGTTAGGCTATATTTATATGAGAGAGTTTGAATCACTCTGATCGGACGACCCAGAGAGTTTTCCTTGATTGGATGACATTTTGATGAATATTTGAGTATCTTAACGATGTCAGGATTGAGCAATCTTAGGCTTGTTGGATTCACATTTTCAAGACGCTCGATTCAACTATAAGCTCATCTTATTTGACATCAGTTAGACCTTCTAAATATGTCTGAAAAGCTTCAAAAAATAGTTTAATATTTTGCTCGGGGCTTGGTTTGACTCAGATCAGACCGATTTTGGTATCATTGGGTCAATCTTATTGAACCAATCAATTTGACTATAAGTTTGTTGAAATTGAAGCTTTGGATCAATTTACATCAAAGTTTTAACGTTTCTTGCTCAAATAGGTGCATCATGATCCATGTCGTGCCTCGAGATTCGTGTTGTATGTAGGGAATTTGTTGATGATGCATCAATCCTAAGATTTGCATATGGATTCTTTGAAAGAGCACATAAAAGGATTCAACTTTATTTTAAATTTACTTGGGATTTCAAAAGTTTCTTTTAAAATTTTAATGTATTTCTTGATCAATACGTTCACTTCAAAATTTTTACCTTTAAGTTGGACAAAAATTACATTCATCATGTGTTGGCAGGTAACAACAATATTTTTTCAACCCAAAGAGCAGTACAACATAGTCATATACTCCCTTAATGGTGATGAATGCAATCTTTTCAATGTCAACCAGATGAATCTTGATTTGGTGGTAGCTAGAGAAGGTGTCGAGGAATATCATCATGGAATTACTGATCGCCACATCCACAAGCGTGCCGATTTATGACAGAGGGTAGCTATACTTTGAGCTAGAGATGTTTAGATTAGTGAAGTCGATGCACATTTTTCACTTGCTTTTCAATTTATGTATCATGATGATGCTTGACACCCACGTTAAGTATTGTATCTCTCGCATGTAGACGACGTCCAAGAACTTTTTGAACTCCTATTGGATCGACTCGACAAGTGTGATAGCCGACATCTTGATCTCCTATTTCATTGGTTGAGCCAAAAAGTTGATGTTTAGGTGGTGGTACACGATGTTGATTTGTAATGTCTTTGTGGCTCTAGAGGATGTTAATCAATACGTCTTTATGACTTGCATCAAATGCTTTACTCAGTAGAAAAAAATTAGCAACATTGCCTTCAATTGAACATATCTGATCTGTGATCTTGTTGGCCTTGAAACCGCTTCTCATATATTTGTGAGCTTAAGGGGGTTCTTGTTGGACGCTTCTAACTGCCCAGAGATAACATGTATAAGATTGTTCGTGATCACCCCGAACAGTAATTACCTTTCAGTTGCCTAGAAACTTCACAACTATTTGGCAGTTAAAAGTGACAGCCTTGAAAAATTTGAGCAGGAGACAACCAAAGATGGCGTTGTAGCTGGGTGATAAGTTGACCACTTTGAAGTCCGCCATGCGGTGAACTCCTTGTCTTTATCTCCCTAGGTAATTGGTAAAGTGATGGCTGCCAACCTCTCATTCCTCTCGTGAGAAAAACCTAGAGTGTGTTGGTCGTGATTGTCAGTTGTTTGCTCTTGAGATCATTTTGTCGAACACTGACTTAAACATGATGTTCACAAAATTATCAGTGTTAGTGAGTGTGCTACAGATTTATAGTTATCGATCAACATAGTGACGATGATAGTGTCATTTTAGGGATTGCCCTTGGGGGGTAAGTATTCGCTGGTGAAGGCTAAGGATGTGAGCTCTGTATGAGCATAAAGGTGGCTGAATATAGTTCTATTGACCGAAGCCCCTTTGGGTTGACTTTGCAGGATGAGTCTCCACCTTCATCAAAGATGGCGGGAATTATGCCTGCGATATGGACTCCATGGACCTGTACTGGCTCGTTTGATATTTCCTCCTCTGAAGCCTTCCCTTGCCACTGGGTTATTGCTCTTGGCGTCCTAAATTCCTTCAATTTTTTGGTCTTAATCAAATCTTCGATGAAACCATGAAGTTGTCGGCACTCCTTTGTGTCATGCCACTGATCTCGGTGGTAGGGAAACTATTTATTTGGATCAGAAGTAATAAAATATTTAATTTTATCAATGAAAAGAAAAACTCCATAAAAGATGGTAATTTAATTTTTGCATTGTGCATTAAAAAGAAGTTAATGGTGTTTATATATTTTTGGGCAATGCTCAGCCAAGAGTAATGTCTATGTATTATGAAAATTTCTGTCCAGAATCATTTAAAATTTGCACTGTTTCTCAAAATTCTAAGCTTGTCCCACATTTTTCAAACAACCATTAAAATTTTACATATTTTCACATCTAATATAAAAAATTTTTATATTTACTTATATAACTTAATATCTAAATGCAATCAAAACATATAAACGAAAATATATACTTTACTTCAGATGAACAAACTTAAATATGTTTTTTATGACATTTAAAGATTAAGATGCTATATAAATAAAATTAAAATTTATTTATTAAATAATTAAATATATATAAAAATTTAATGGCATTTATGTAAGCTCTCAGCTATAAATCATTAATTTCCAAATAGCATAACCGAAACTCTGAAACAATCATGAGCAAACATCTCATATTTTCAGAAAGTTGTTCAGAAAGATCACTTCTTGGGTTAATCATTACGATCATGAAGTAATCATAATTATTTTAACAAAACAGACGGATCTAAATAATGGAAATAAAGAAGAATACATAAATCTCTGAACCGATAAGAAACTGCTAAATATATTGAAGATTTATGAGTAGATCGTAAGTATCCAAGCGTGATAAAACCGACAGAGCTGCTCTGAATCTGAATGACAAAGCAGGACGCAGAAGCAGATTGACCCCACAAACCATCAAACAAGGAGAAAGAGGAAACCAGAAAAGCCACAACAAGGACAGCAATCACTATTTATGAACAAATTGTTTAATGCGAAAGTACAACAAGATTAAATCATTCCGAAATCATTATTAGCATCTGAATCAAGAATTTCTTCACCCCTTCTGAATCAATCGCAGAACAACAAACCACAAACCTCCCTCCTCCTCCTCTTCTTCTTCAAATCCACATTTTTCAACTAATATTAAAATAAAGATGAAATCTTGCAGAGAAAATCAGATTAAAAAAGCCATCTTTTTTATCCCTGAAACTGAAACAGAGCTGGCTGTCAAGACAAGATTTTCTTATTGATTATTGATTACTGATTACTATCTCTTTCTGCGAAGGGCTGCGCCAGAATCCGGTGCCGACGAACTCCGGCCACATTTTCTCCTCCATCTCCGATACCTCCGTCGACGGCGACTTCGCCGGCCAAGGTATGGGTGGTTCAGCCGCCTTTGGGGAGAACGAAGCTTTAATGTTCTGAGCAGATGCCTTGGAATCCACGCCGAGCAGGCCGGACTTCTTCTTCTTCAGCCTCTTAATCTTCCTCCTCCTTCTCCTCATCACACGGCGAAAGAGACCCATCGGAATCTTTACAACGGTGAGGATGAGAAGGTTGACGAGGCTACAGGGACAACAGCAGGCCACCGCGGCGCATTCCGCCGCCTTCCCGCCGGCAACCTCCGCCAGACGCTTGCCTGGTTTCGGTCGCTCCTTCAAGATCAGCGACTTCCTGCTCGCCAGAGCTCCGCCATTCGCCGGCGGCCCGCGTGACATTGGGAAGGAGGGATCGCGATTGTGCGATTCTGCGATTATAACATTGCTGGATTGTTTCTTTTGATGTGTAGCCTTCACGTTTTGGCATATTGGGTCGTGCACGGGTCGGGTCGGGTTGACTCAACGGGCCGAACAGCGTTGAATTCCTTTGGACTCGCTCCAGGGGCCTGAACGGACGGGAGACATTTGTTGTGCAATTAATGTGTTCTATATGGTGATAAAAAGTTGCTTACGTGGCAAAATTGGCAGTTAGATGTGTGATGAAAGGCATATTTTACAAATATATCATATAATTTTTAGATATTTTCATATTTCATATTGATTTAAATTTTTGTATTTAGAACATTCAAATATCTAATATTACATCAAAATATTACTATTAATTTTTAGAAACTCTTACATACCTAATAATTATTATCTATTAACATACCTAAGGTAAATAAATAAATAAATAAACAATATATACATATATATATATATATATATATATATATATA